GAACGCGAACGCGCGTTCACGGCGTTCAAACGGTTACATAGAACTCATAATTAAAAAAATAAAAATAAAAAAATAATTGTACCCCACATTTGAACGCGAACGCTCGTTCACGGCGTTCAAACGGTTACATAGAAGGAACGGCCACGCTTGTCGCACCCAGCACCCATTGTTCTCGTCTGATCCGAGGCCATTCTGGAGCGGCTAGCCCAGGGACGAAAATGCGGACATGGGCCTTGGCGGGACTCTTTTGCAACATGCAATTGGTGTCGGAATGATCCCATGGATTTTATTAATGACGGCAGGAGGGACGAGAATAATGGGATAATTGCTAATTGTGCGGATTGAGCCCTCAACGGGGCCTTGCCGACATGCATATGTTATGGGCATAGGCCCCCAGCAAGCCTCGAAGTGAAGGCGGGCCAGAATATCCACGAAGAGGCCTTCATTCAGCATTTCCCAAAGTGGGTATCAGACAGTTGCCCCACGCCAGTTGGTTGAAGTGAAGTGCATCGTGAGCCTCCAACTCCTGCAGAGGCAGTTGAGCCCAGGGCCGGGGTTGGTTGAGCCCTGGGCGACAGTCTGGGAGGCCTACACATCACACATTGGTCCCTGGCCTTTGGAAAAGCAGTATTTCGTCGTAGAGACCGAGGAAGCCAATGGGAAACCGGTACGGGGTCTGAATCTGGACAACGGCCCTAGCATAAGGGGCGCAACTGTATTACCTAGGCCCCATCTGCATTGGGCCTGGGTACAGATACTGGGGCCCAGGCGCATGCTCAAGGTAGACCGCCCACACGCAACACTGGCATATAGGCAGAGCGGGCAAGTGGGTAGCGATCTTGGCCATTGCGAGCAAGGCCGGCACGCTGTTGCATTGCGAGGTGCTGCGCTGCGCTAGGCTGAGAGAAGGCAGGTTGACGCTAAGCGATAGAGCGCAGCCTGGGCGCAGGGCGTTGGCAGCCATAGCCGGACTGCATGAGGGCGTTGAGGGAGGTGAGGGCGAAGGTGGTTTTTCGGAAGGTGAAGGGCGTTGTGTGGGATAACAAGGAAGAGTGAGGGAGGAGAGAGAGAGACGTACCTGGAAGAAGAAGAGGAGGTCGGCATTGGTGTTGACGTCATCACTCGCCGGTCGTCAAGTAGTCTGGTTGCTTCCATGTTGTAGTTGAAGGATAGGCTGTAGAGTAGATAGGGCGCCTGGCGCCATTCAAGAGAGAGAGCTACATTGGATTATGTTGTTGGTGTTGCCCGATTGAGCTTGGACATTGACTCACGATTTTACTGTATCGTTCTCAAATGGATGGTTCCTTGGTTCCTATGTGCTATCTGCTCTTGCTTTGACTACTTGGACTTTAGTGTGATTTGCAATTGGAATTTATGTGCTTCGTCCACATTCATGTTCCTTGCAATTTGGTATCAGAGCTGGTTCGATTCGCCGCTTACCTTGTTGCGGCGGCGTTATACAGACTGGGTGCGTTGACGATGCTTCTTCGCAGTTGGTTCTTGTGATGTCTGGCCGAAAATAGGCGCGCAACCTGGGTAGAGAGGTGCGCGTCGAAAGGCTATATGGCCTGGGATGCCGTGGCGACGACAAAATGTATGTATGGTGATGAGAGCATGTTGATGTGGCATTTGGCTAAGGTGGCACTGCATTGCGTTGTGGGTGGTACCGAGGCTACGAACGGTCATCAAATGCACATTCGGCTCAATTGGTGAGAAATCTGTGGTTGGGGGCAGCTATCTCCAGGTACGTTGTTCCCTTACCTTATCTACCCTCTCAATGTCTTCTTACCGCGAGGAAGTGAGTCCAACTTGAGAGTCCTCTCTTTTGGTGAGGTGTCGTGAGCGCTCTACCTTGAGAGTGACGCATCTGGAGGGAGAAAGGGCGGTGCCTCTGAAGGGCCCTCGTCGAAGCACATGGGTCACGGTCACCATGCCACCCAATGGGATTAGTACACGCATGCGATGGCTGCTTTTCCCATTGGGGCTCTTTTGCTGCACTGATAGAGGGGTGTGCGGACTGAACAGGCTTATGCAGACGCTCCCAGACCGTCTATAAACATTTCTGGATGGGGATCCGATCTGTCCACTGGCTGTGCTCGTCGTCCTGATTGCGGCGTTAAATAATTCCTGAGCGACCTTGGGGGCAGTCCTTAAATAAGCCTCTTGATCAGCCAGATCAGTCGGACGTACGGCTCGTTGCACCTGGGGCACAGGGGTGGGCCGACATTGCACACCTATGACACTGCTGCTCATTGATGCTCATCGGAATGTTGGATTGAGGGGAGGGTAGGTTCCAATTGGTGCTGAACTATAAACACAACCGTATCCACTGTTCATACATCTGCAACATACTTTAGTTTTATTTTTGATTAGTTGGTGGACAGACTGCTAACACCTCACAGACAGCTTAGTTTAGGACTGTAGTATACTACCATATCCAATTCTATGCAAAGCTTCTGTAAGTGAACTAATCTGGATAAAATTAGATTATGTTTACAGTCTTTGTGAATGTTGTAAGGTTGCCACTTGATCGGTTAAGTAGGGGACCTGCCGGACACGTTTACTTTTAGAACATTAGGTGCCGGTCAGACACATGCTGTGGTAGGACTCCAGCAGGGAGTTGTAGTGCAGATAGTGTTTGCCTAGCTGATGAGTGGGTCCGACGCCGATGAGGGCAGAGTTGACGATGCGAGGCTGACACGTTCGAGATCACGTAGGGTCCCGCACGTGTTTCAGGCCCTACAGCCGAAAGACGAAAGACGGCTTCGTGCCGAAGTTAGAGCCGTGCACTAGCTGCAAGTCAGGCGTTGGCAGCAGCAAACGCCGCAGCTAGGGAACAGGCAGCAGCAGCAGCCAGTGCAACAGCAATGGCTACTGCTGCAGCATCCTCTGCTGCATCCTCGTCTGGGACCCAATTGGGGATGCCCCCTCGGCCCACGGGTACTTCCGGATCAGTAGGTTCTAGTCAGTCCACAAGTCAAATGGCGGGATCGCAGTTCAGTCCGTTGACCCCACGCGACAGAGAGCTACTAGAGCTCCAACAAGTCGAGAGGATCCTCACTCGGTTAGAGAGGGAACTGAAGCAAGCTACCGACAAAGAAAATAAGATCAGAAATATAACAGCTAGGCTTGATACGTTAGAGGCAGACAAAGCTGCATTAGAGGAGTTAGATGAGTCAGCAATGTTTGACACAATGAAAGTATTAAGGTCCAACATACTCTCACTGCATGCGCATGTGGACAGCAGGCTGGATTTCATGCAGAAGTCCTTGGACCAAATCTTGGACCTTTTGCAAAGGCCAGGATTACGGCCAGCAGCGCAGTCGCCGTTGCCGTTAACGGCGATGTCAGGCCCCTTCCCGGTACAAGCTGGCACACAGCCAAGTGGTACGTCTGCAGCAGCCGCACAGACTGTTGCTTCTTCTTCTTCTGGTCCACCGGCTGGAGCTACATCACAGTCGCAACAATATGTTCCACCTCAGCGACAGCAGCAAAGTTCATGGTACCCACAGACCCCGATGAAGCCACCCCTTGCTTTCTCCGGTGAGAAGAAAGACGAGGAACTCAACACTTGGTTGAGAACAGTTCCAATGTAGGTAAGGGCAAAGAGGACGTTGCAGGAGGAGGAGGTGATTCCTGCTGCATCTTACCTCGAGGGTAAGGCAGCCAAATGGCTGGATGGGATAGTAGCTAAGGCTGGGTTCGGACGACACATGGCAGGCTGGGGTAAAACCCTTACTTTAGAAGAGTTCTTAGATATGGTAGAAGCTCGCTGGCATAATCCGCAACAGGCACAAATTGCCACAGATGCGATGCTCAGACTGGACCAGCGAAGGTACAAGTCTGTCAGAGAGATGACGTCTACCGTAGAGAACCTCATCGTCGTTCCCGGTATACGCTATAGTGACCAGGTCTTATTGACCATGTTTCTGAGATGTCTGCCCGAGAATCTCAGAACCGTACTGGCCAGCGAGGCTCGCCTCGAGTATCATTCTTTTGAGACCTCTAGAAAGGCCTTAGACTTGGAGGCTACTCTAGGAAGTGCTCAACCTACTCCAGTAGATGGGAGGAAGAAGAAGAGTCCACAGGAGTGGAAAAAGAAGGGTAGTAGATTGATGATGGTTGAGTCTGATGGGACTAAGAACTTACCGACCTGATGGACGGTTCAGAGTACGACGGCTAGGAAATCGCTGAGGGTAGCACCCTCGCCGCAGTAGTCAAGGCAAAGGCTGGTGGCCGCAGTAAAGGCGGCCATCAAAAGAGTCAAGGGCAGGCCGCCTCCAATCAGTCCAAAGTAGCGGATTGGGTTAAGGCAGGTCTTGATTAGGAAGTGTGGTGGGACCGCCGAGTGCGTGGTGCTTGCATTGGTTAAGGCAGGTCTTGATCAGGAAGTGTGGTGGGACCGCCGAGTGCGTGGTGCTTGCATTAACTGTGGTGAATACGGGCACACCCAGTATAAGTGCAAGAACGCAAAGGTCACGCAGAAGATACCCCCTAAGGGAGGGGTGCCTTCTTCCCAAGCTGGGACCAGTTCCAGCTCAGGAAGCACTTGAGGCCGGTGGAAATTTTAGTTGCTTCTACTCATGGTGAAGTGGGCCAGATACCCTTCCCACTTCATGAGATGGCCATAGCTAATGACTCTTTAGTCACCCCGCAGACACACCCAGACCAAACCATGCTCTGTACGTTGGATGTGTCTGAGGCCTTAGAAGATTTAGAAAGTAAGTGGTCAAGCAAGGACTCTCACGAATCTTGGGTGGCACTAAGTAGAGGTCCTAGAGGGGAACACTTCGTCGTGGAAGTTGCTGTAGGAGGCCGCAAATGTGGTGCCTTCGTAGATATCGGCTCCGCGCGGAATTACATAAGTCGCGACTGTTTGGAAAGGCTGCACCTAGAGGACCGGGTACAACACCTTAGTAGACCGGTAGCATCTACTCGGCCAACAAGGAGCGCATGGTAGTGTCAGACTATGTCAAGGATGTAGTCTGCACCTTCTCCTATGGAGGAGGGGAACTTAATCACAAGATTTCGTTCTTGGTTAGTGACGACTTACCGTTCGACATGCTGTTAGGAATGTACTACCTTGAGGTTGCCAAGCCGCAGTTTGACTGGGACAAAAAGGTGCTCAGGCATGAGTTGCCTGATGGGAGGAGTACAAGGCTAGTAGGTTGCTGGACTCCTACGGGTGCTTGTGTGCATCAATGTTCTACAATAGCTATAAACAGAACCAAGAGGAGGGTATGTACCTAGTCTATGTCTCTCAGAAAGGGGAGGCCGTTAAAACACCCCCGGAGATAGAGAATGTCGTTATTAAGTTCCCTGATCTGTTTGAGGAGCCCATAGGAATCGTAGATAGGGAGATTGTCCACGCCATATAAATAATTCCAAGGAGTAAAACCCCAAAGAGAAGGATCTATAGGATGGCTCCGACCGAGTTGGACAAACTCCGGCGACAACTGAAAGAGCTGACAGAAAAGGGTTGGATACGGCCTAGTACTTCCCCCTTCGGATCACCAGTGTGATTTATACCGAAGAAGGGGGGATCGTTGAGGATGTGCATTGATTATAGAGGCCTCAATGCCATCACTGTGAAGAACGATGAGCCTCTACCACGCATTGACGACGTATTGGATAGGGTGCAAGGATGTAAGTACTATACTAAGATAGATTTAAAGTCCGGCTACCATCAGATTGCCATAAGACCTGAGGATCAACACAAAATTGCGTTTCAGGCCAGGTACGGTCTGTACGAGTTTGTGGTGATGCCCTTTGGGCTTTGCAATGTGTCGGGTACATTCCAGCACGCCATGAATAGGATCTTCCATGATTACTTGGACAAGTTTGTCATCGTATACCTTGACGATATTCTTGTCTTCGGTAAGTCTGTCAAGGAACATGCACAACATTTGGAGATTGTTCTCTCACTCCTGCGGCAGCACAAGTATAAGGTCAACTTAGAGGAATGCGAGTTCGGACATACTAAGATCTTGTACTTGGGTCATGAAGTATCCGCGACAGGGATTAGGCCGGAAGATGCGAAGGTGGCTAGTATAAGGGACTGGCCACGACCTCAGACAGTGACTGAGGTCAGATCTTTATTAGGGATGTGCAGCTACTATAGGAACTTCGTGAAAAACTATTCCACGGTCGCCTCTCCTTTGACTGATCTCACTCGACTTGATACGCCGTGGGACTGGAATGATGAGTGTGAGGCTGCTTTCAAACGATTGAAGCATGCACTCATGAATCATGAGGTTCTCATGGTGCCCGATCCTCAGAAGCCATTCATTGTAACCACTGATGCAAGCCAATATGATATTGGCGTAGTGCTGGCTCAGCAGGATGGGAAAAAGTTGAGGCCGATTGAGTACATGAGTAAGAAAATGCCATCTAAGAAACTAACTAAGTCCACTTATGAAAGGGAACTCTACGCCCTCTACAAGGCATTGGTCCATTGGAGGCACTTCCTGTTGGGATGGTTTTTCTATCTGAGAACTGACCATCAGACCCTCAAATGGATCAAGACTTAACCTGCTCTCTTTGATGCACTCAAGCGCTGGATTGAAGTTATAAATCAGTATGACTTCAAGATGGAGTAATCGAAGGGGGAGTATAATAAGGTTGCAGATGCGCTGTCACGTAAGGCAGACTATCTAGGAGCGTTAGTTTCTGAATTCGGCATATCAGAAGAACTCGATCGTTGGTGGAAGCCTATCAGGAAGACCCTGTCACGATGGACATCATCCGCAAACTGCAGGCTAACGACAAGGCCACAGAAGATGAGTTTGTGATGGTGGATGGGTTAATCTTTCTGGAAAAGGCTGGTAATAATAGATTAGTGATTCCAGCTAGGGAGAATTTGTGCAGTTTGTTTTTAGGAGAATGTCATGATGCAATGGGACATTTTGGCTACAAAAAGACAAGTGTTAATCTGGTACAGCGATTTTGGTGGCCCAGTATGCTAGAGGATGCAAAGATGTATGTGCAGACCTGCCAGGTCTGTCAGCGAGACAAGCCAAGAACTCAAGCACCACTTGGGTTGCTGAAGCCCTTGCCCATTCCCGCTGGACCAAGCAGAGTGTCTCCATGGATTTCATGGACACCCTGGTCACCAGCAGGAGTGGCAAGAGGCATATCTTTGTTATCATAGACAGGTTTACCAAGTTCGCTAGACTGATTGCCATGCCAGAGACTGCGAGGACTGAGCACGTCATCAAGCTGTTCATGGACAACTGGGTGCGTGATTTCGGATTGCCAAAGTCAATCGTTAGTGACAGAGATGTCAGCTTTACAAGTGAGCTGTGGAAGAAGACTGCTGAGCAATTAGGCAGTCAACTTCAGATGACTTCCGGGAATCATCTTGAAGCCAACGGACAGGCCGAACAGATGAACAGAGTTGTACAACATCTGGTGAGGCACTACATCAAGCCCAGCCAGGATGACTGGGATGAGAAATTGCCTCTCATTGCCAGCTTGTACAACAACGCTGTACACAGCAGTACCAGCGTCAGTCCTAACCAGCTGCACTTGGGATGGAAGCCTAGATCAGCGTTGGACTTCCTCCTGCCTGAAAACCGACCCTCTGCAACTCCGGGCAAATTTGAGTATGGTGTGCAGTATGAGAAGTTGTTGCAGCAAGCCGTCGAGCACATCAGGAAATCTCAAGAAACAATGATTGCTTATGAGAACAAACATCGTTGACAGTCCACATTTCAGGTAGGGGAACGTGTCTGGGTCAAGGCTAGTGAGCTAGGACATGAATTTGGAATCTCTCGTAAACTAATGCCACAATATTTCGGTCCCTGGGAAGTCTTGGACGTAGTTGGGGATGACTTGGATGGTCCTTCCTATGTTATTCGAATCCCTGGTCACCTGCGCACTTACCCTGTGTTTCACGCCTCAAAGCTTGCACCTTTCGCTGAGACAGATCAATTTCCTTCACGGAGATCAATGCTGCCCCCAACCACGGATGGCCACGTGGACATCGACGGCATTTTGGAACACAGAGACATGCGTGTTCCCAGACCTCTTGGTAGAGGAAGACCTCCAAAACCCAAGAGAGAATACAGAGTCAGATTCAGGCATCACACAGATCCGAAAGAAGATCGGTGGTTCACCAGAGAGGAACTGATTGAAACAGCACCTCAGGTGGTGGCGGAATATGAAAGACAGCTAAAAGGGAAGGCATGTGCGAAGTAAGCATCTCAGCGGACTTTCAAAGCTAAGGGGGATGGAATGTGAGGATTGAGCCCTCAACGGGGCCTTGTCGACATGCATATGTTATGGGCATAGGCCCCCAGCAAGCCTCGTGCCCGCCCTAAGTGAAGGCGGGCCAAAATATCCACGAAGAGGCCTTCATTCAACATTTCCCAAAGTGGGTATCAGACAGCTGCCGCACGCCAGTTGGTTGAAGTGAAGTGCATTGTGAGCCTCCGACTCCTGCAGAGGCAGTTGAGCCCAGGGCCGGGGTTGGTTGAGCCCTGGGCGAGAGTCTGGGAGGCCGACACATCACACATTGGTCCCTGGCCTTTGGAAAAGCACTATTTCGTCGTAGAGGCCGAGGAAGCCAATGGGAAACCGGTACGGGGTCTGAATCTGGACAATGGCCCTAGCAGAAGGGGCGCAACTGTATTACCTGTGCCCCATCTGCACTGGGCCTGGGTACAGGTACTGGGGCCCAGGCGCAGGCTCAAGGTAGACCGCCCACACGCAACATTGGCATATAGGCAGACCGGGCGAGTGGGCAGGGATCTTGGCCATTGCGAGCAAGGCCGGCACGCTGTTGCATTGCGAGGTGCTGCGCTGCGCTAGGCTGAGAGAAGGCAGGTTGACGCTAAGCGGTAGGGCGCAGGGCGCTGGCAGCCATAGCCGTGCTGCATGAGGGCGCTGAGGGAGGTGAGGGCGAAGGTGGTTTTTCGGAAGGTGAAGGGCATTGTGTGGGATAACAAGGAAAAGTGAGGGAGGAGAGAGAGAGACGTACCTGGAAGAAGAAGAGGAGGTCGGCATTGGTGTTCACGTCATCACTCGCTGGTCGTCAAGTAGTCGGGTTGCTTCCATGCTGTAGTTGTAGGATAGGCTGTAGAGTAGATAGGGCGCCTGGGGCCGTTCAAGAGAGAGAGCTACATTGGATTATGTTGTTGGTGTTGCCCGATTGGGCTTGGACATTGACTCACGATTTTACTGTATCGTTCCCAAATGGATGGTTCCTTGGTTCCAATGTGCTATCTGCTCTTGCTTTGACTACTTGGACTTCAGTGTGATTTGCAATTGGAATTTCTGTGCTTCATCCACATTCATGTTCCTTGCATAATTATTAAATTTTTTATCTGAATTCGTTCATAAAGAATTATCATGGTTACCGTCCGGACGTCCGGAACCCATTCCGGACCGTCTGCGTCTGGATGTCCGGGCGGACGTCCGGTCCGGTAGGTCCGGAATAATTTTATTTTTATTTTTATTTTATTTTTTTTTTGGGGGGGGGGGGTCGTTCATGGCCCACATCCAAAAAAAATGTTTGGGGATTTTTTGACTATTTTCCGGCCCTTTCAGAAAGCCGAAGAGGACC